CCCGGCGTGGACTGGGGACCCCCTTGGTGGCCCCTTCCGGGAGATCCGTGGCACCTGCGCCCGCAGCTCTGAGGTCCTCGATTCAAGAGTGTTTCCAGCCCCACCACCAGGGAGCCCCCGCCGCCGTGGCGTCCCGAAGCGGGAGTCTCCAGGCAGGGATGCGCCCAGGGGCCCGGGCTTGGGCGGTGGAGAGAGGACCCCGACAAGGAACACATTGCCCCCACCCCCATCCTGTCCTCGAGGGCGCTGGCCAGAGACCCGCACCCTTACGCAAGGCGGTCTCAGCCGGCCCTGATAGTCAGGCATTTGGACGTCCCCCAACACCCAGGGCAGGATTCCAGTGTCCCTCTACCCGCTCTCCTCTGAGTCCCCTGCTATCCTGAGCACCCAGTCCGGGGCCTTCCGGGAGGGGTGCGTGGGCCTCAGTCCCCAGCCTTCTGAGGAGGCATCTGCTCAAGCGCGTCCCTAAGCCCCAGCGAGACCCGAGCCCAGGGGCGAAAGGTCGCGCAGAGGGCGCCCCTAGGCCTGACACTCCCATTCCCAGATCTTCCTCTACTCCCCACCAGGCCCGGTGTCTTATTTCTTTGTCTTCGGAATTGCCCTCATCCCGACCTTTTCGCACGGCCCCATACTCCCTGCAGCCCTGCGCTGCAGCCCAGTGCGGGGTAGGGGGGAGAGGGGGGAGGAAGGAGCTCCTCCCCAGCGCCCCCTTCTAGGCTAGTTGCCGTGACCTCCCAAGCGAGGAGAGGTGGAGGGGGCTGGAATTCCGGAGCAAGCTGAGCTGGCCGAAGCCTCAGGGCAAGGAAGGCCTAGGGCCCAGATGGCAGATTGCAGCCCTGGTGGCCAAGGTATTTTTATGGGCATACCTGTTGCCCAGTGAAGCATTGGGGGGGGGGCTCAGCTTAGCCTCCCGACACACCCCAAGTGGTGCAGGGTCTTCCCAAGGGCCCACAGGAAAATGGCTCTGGTATCCTGGACTGGATTCCCCACCCCCATTGGACCACCTCCCACCAATCGCTTTTACCCTGAAAGTGAAGGCTTGGGGTGGTCCCACCGGCCCTCTGAGATGGCCCGGATGCCATGTTTCTAGGGGTCTTTAGGAGGAGAATGGACAAAAAATAGTGAAGGTTCTGGGCTTCCAGAGAGAGGGAGAGCCAAGGGGGCTGCCTGCCCCTCCCAGAGCTGCCAGTGGCCCACCACTTGGTTCTAGTGGCCCCAGAGTGGAGCTGTGGGCAAAGCTCTTGAAGTGCCACTGGCCCAACATCTTTAGGAAGAGGGAAGGGAGACTGAGCTGGCCTAGGTCACAAGGCCAGGGAGCCAAGAGCTGGGCAGAGAGGGGGTATTTTCCACGAGGCACTGAGCTATGGTCAGCTTCCTGCCTGCACTGATGTGACCTCTGATAGGCCAGGCAGAAGCTGACTGTGGGCCTCTGCTCTCCAGCTGGTCACTCCACTCATCCCAACTCGCCAGCCTTTCCCCAAGCCCCAACTTCTGCAAATCCTTGACCTAATCTGGGGTTTTATGATGATCACTATGATGACATTGACAAGGGTAAAGTAAGAAGGGAAAGGAATAGGACCTGTTTAGCATGTACCTGCTAATGCATAATGATGGGTGCAGCATTCATTTATTTTATAAATATGAATTATGCTGATTACACTGCATTGGTAAGCAGTACCACAGACCTGCCTTGTTCTAAGCACATTCCATGTATTAGCACATTTATTTTCCACACCAACCTAGTGAGGTCTGACCAAGCATTAGTCCCACATCACAGGTGAAGAGACTGGAACCCAAAGAACTCAAGGGATGCACCCAGGGAGTGCTGCTTAGAAAAGTCTCTTTCTCTCCCTTAGTTCATTGCATTCACACATAGCCTGGTGATGAAGGTCCTATTATTATCCTCATTCTCCAAGTAAGGAACCCAGATCCAGAAAGAAGCAGTTATGCAGCCAAGAGGGGCTCCATAGAGTGTTCATTCCACTTGCATTCTGCACACCCCTCCTCCTCAGCACTGCACTGTGAAGTAGATGCAATCAGTGCCCCCATTTCACAGATGAGGAAACAGGTTTAGAGGATTCAAGTGACTTAATCAAGATTATCCAGAACATAAAAGGCATAACTGGCATTTGAACTCATGTCTGTTTTACTGTAAGGTCCATTTTCTTGCTTCCTATGCCAAAGTGGAGGGGCCAATGGGAGTGAGAGCAGGAGAGAGAGATCACAGGCAGAGCAAGTCACAGAAGCAGCCAGAAGGATTGGCCTTGAATATAAGGTGAGCATTCCCTCCACTGCCTCATACTCACTGTGGAGGTTCATGGGATCACTGGGCAGATGGCTGTGTCTTGCCCACCCATGCACCTTTCAAAGTCAAGTGCACTTCACAGCCTCTGCAGTTTGGTGGTCATGATCTGCCCTCCATGACCCACTCCTCTTAGTCACAGGGACTGGACCTAGGCAGCCCCCCAGAGTCTGGCCAGATCCCCCAGATGATGGGTCAAGTAATAAGGGATGAACATCACAGACAGCAGCCAACAGTGGGGCAGGAAGAGTGGCAGCAGGCAGGCAGAGTGGGCTTGTGAGCTTGCCATAGCTTTCCTTGATCTCCTGGAAGTAGCATTATAGTTGGTTTTGGTTTGATCCATTGTGACAATTCTTATCTTTTAAAAATCAGCTGTATTAGGCCTGGGGATATAGCTTAGTTGGTAGAGTGCCTGTCTCACATGCACAAGACCCTGGGTTCAATCCCCAGCACCACAAAAAAATATCATCTGTATCAAAGTATAATATACACACAGTAAAATTTACCCCTTTGAAATACAGTTTGGTGAATTTTGATAAATGTCATACATTCACCACCAAAATCAAGCTATAAATCATTTCTGCCACTTCCCCAAATTCTCTCCTACTACTTTGCAGTCAACAACTGTCTCCATGCCCTGGCCTCTGCCCCCCACTGATCTGCTTCACTTAGGCAGTCTAATTTTTGAGATTCATCCTGTTTTGTGTTTGTGTGTACCAGTAGTCTATTCCTTTTATTTTCATATCTTTTTGTGGTTTTGGGGATTAAATCCAGGGCCTTGTGCATGTGAGGCAGGCACTCCACCAACTGAGCTATATCCCCAGCCCAATATGTTCATTTTCATTGATAAGTAGTATTCCTCTCTTTGGATGTATCAGATTGTGGTTAGGCATTCACTCATTGAAGGACATCTGGGTTGTTTCCAGTTTTGGAGTATATGAATAGAACTCCTGTAAATATTCATGTGCAGGCTTTTGTGTGAATGTGCTTTTTTACTTGTCTAAGGTTAACTAGGTTAGTAGCCAAGAACTGGGTTTCTGGGTCATATGGCCAATTTATGTTTATCCATGTTTGTCTTTTTTTTCCAGCACTGGGAATTAAACCCAGGGCCTAGTACATGCTAGGCAAGTGTATCATTGAGCTACATCCCCAGCCCTAAGTTGCTTGGAATCCTCCTGCCTCAGCCTCCTGAGTAGCTTGGATTATAGGCATGTGCCACAATGCCCAGTCCCATCTTTGTCTTTTTAGCAGTAGAGTTTGATTACATTTATGATGATTGCTGTTCTATTTGGATTTATTGGTGCTTATTCTGTGCTTTCTATTTGCCCTGTTTTCCCAGTTCCTCTCCCAGATGCAGAATCCATCTCTGCCACAAGTGCCTCCTAACACCCAAGCCATGGAGGCTGGACACAGGAACCTCCTTGATGCCCAGCAGGAACACAACTGCCTTCCCATAGCGTCTCAAATCTCCCTGAGGGCACCAAATTTGTCTCCCAAAGCCCAGCTGTATGGAAGTCGGAGGTGAGAATGAAGACTGAGAGCAGGTGACAGGCCCATGCACACCCTCTGTTGTAGGCCATCTCTCAGATGGATTGAGTTTGCTTCTCATTTCATTTCCCATCTGTTTATTTAAAAGCACTGTATGAATTTTTTAATAGTTACTTTAGCTATTTTAACATGCATTCTTAACAAAGTCTAAAGTTAATCAATATATCCACTCCAGTGGTTATAATGTAGATCCACAAATTCTTTGATATCCCTCTCCTCAAGAGGTGGTGCCCAATGCCCCTCCCTGTGAGTACTGACTGGACTTGGTGCCTGGCTTCTAATGAATCAGAGAAAGCAGGAGTGACAACTTTGGAGAGCAGGTCATAAAGGCACCACTGCTTCACTTCCTCTCTTGGATTGCTTTTTGGGAAAAGCCTGCTACCACACTGTGAGGACACTCACCAGCCCTGCAGAGGCACTCACATAGGATGGAAAGAAAGTGTCCCACCTATAACCATGTTACCATTTTGGAAATGGTTTTCTGGGACTGGGATGTGGCTCAGTGTTAGAACATGTGCTTAGCACATGTGAGGCCCTGGGTTCCATCCCCAGCACCAAAAACAAAAACATCCATGCCTTCCTGTGACTTCAGTGCTGACCAACATCCTGAGTGCAACTGCATGAGACATTTTCAGTTAGAACGATCCAGCTAAGCCACTCTTGAATCCTCACCCACAGAAATTGTGTGATGATAAATAGTTATTGTTTTTTTTTAAACCATTACATATTGGAGCCTAGGAGCTCAAGGCCAGCCTGGGCAACATAGTGAGACTCTCAAAAAAAAATATATATATATATATAGCTTTTTTCCCAGGGATTTGCTTTGTTTATGTATGTAAGGAAGGCAGTACAAGTTTCTTTTTTTAAAGTTTTTTTCTTTTTTCATTTTATTTCTAATTTTTTGGTACTGGGGATTGAATGCAGGGGTCTATACCACTGATCCACATCTCCAGCCCTTTTTTGGGGGGGCAGGGGGTACCAGGATTGAACTTAGGGGCACTTGACCCCTGAGCCACATCCCCAGTCCTATTTTGTGTTAAATTAGACACAGAGTCTCACTGAGTTGCTTAGCATTTCGCTTTTGCTGAGGCTGGCTTTGAACTTGCAATCCTTCTGCCTCTGCCTCCTGAGCTGCTGGGATTACAGGCATGGGACACTGCACCTGGCCCTTTTTGTTCTTTATTTTGAGACAGGGTCTAAGTTGCCTAGGTTGGGTTTGAATTTGCATCCTCCTGCCTCAGTCTCCCCAGTCACTAGGATCACAGATATGCACCACAATGACCAACTAATAAGGAAGTCCAAGTTTCTAATTTGTTATTTGGGTACACAACTAGGAGAACATGAAGCCCTGGTTACCACCTCATGTACCCTAGAATTCCCATTTGTACCTCAGAGGTGACAGACTTCTGACCAATCACTCCTTGGGGTTATCCTTGGTCTTGTCCTCTCCACAGTCTTCTGGGCTTCCTTTCTTTAGGCCTGTCTTCCTGCTGACGCCTTCCACTGGAAGCTCTCCACAAAGTTCTCTGTGCACCTTTGTTCCACAGCTAACAAATTCAACTGCCACTCTGTCAAGTGAAGTCTCACCCACTGTCTTAACAGACCCCCCAGGACCAGGGCTCCTACCCTCTGGGTCAGGAGGTGGAATCAGCATCTTCTATGTGTCAGTCAGCCATTTTGTGTTCATCACCAACTCATTTGCCAATGGCCAATGGCTCACTGACTTCTCTTCCTGGACAACATCCCAACCTTTCAATTTCTTGACGTTTTTATCTCTCAAGACCTTGTTGATCTCACCTCAACATCCTCCTTCATGCTAAATCCCAAATGCTAATCCTCTGGGCACAGCCTTCACTCTGTTCCTTCCAGTTCTCCAACTTCCTCCCTGTTATCACTCCTGTGTTTGGACTAGGTACCAAATATATGAGTTCCCACTTGGTTTTTCTCCTCTACATCCTACCTTGGCCCCACCATGTATCTCTTCAATTTGCTTCAGTCTATCTATTTAAAGGAGGGCTCTGGTAGGAAAGAAGAAGGCAGTAATCTCAGCTAATCTGCCTGAGCTCCAGGGAACCTAGAATTAGAGGATTTTAAGCAGGTCAAGGGCCTAAGTTGTCTAATCCACAATGCAACCTCCACCTCTGAGCTACTGTTATGGGGACTCCTGTTACCACCAACCAGTTCCTATTCTGTCTCTTCTGAGGCCATCTTTTCCTCATCTCTTTGCTTCTTCTTAATCCTAGCTTTGCTTCTCCTGGCTTCTACTGCTTTATGACAAGCACACATGGCTTTTCTCCATGTGCCCATTAGCTTTTAATCTCACTGCAGTTCGAGTTCCAAGAGAAGAAAGTTGATTGGCTCAAATACTTGGTATCCTTGTTTTGGCAAACCCTTTATGCCAAGTAACTGCATTGGCAACTGGCCAGTCTATAGAGGTGGCAGTTCTTGGCCAGGCACTGGCTCCTGATCCAAACAGGTAAATCCAAGGTCAGTCCAGGCCAATGGGATACACACTATATATTCTATGTATACTGCTATGGACTGAACGTTGTGCCCCCCACCTAATTCACATCTTGAGGCTCTAACCTCAAGTGTGGTAGTATTTGAAGATGGAGCCTCAAAAGAACTAAGAAATGAGCTCATAAGTGAAAGGCTCGGATTCCCATAGGGTTGAAAGTGTTCAATCCCCTGACCCACCATAGGAGGACACAATGAGCAGGTGGCCATCTGCAAATCAAGAAGAGACCCCTCACCAGGAACTGACCCTGCTGCCCTGCTGCACCTTGATCTTTCTTTTTGTTTTCTTTTTTGTTGTGCTGGGGATTGAACCCAGGGCTTTGTGATTCGAAGCAAGCACTTTACCAATTGAGCTATATCCCCAGCCCCTGATCTGGGATTTCTGACCTCCAGAACAATGAGAAAATAATGTCCATTGTTTGAGCCACCTACTCTGTCTAAGTCATGGACAGCTGCTGCAGGGAACTATCTATGTATTGGCTAGCCTGTCTGGGCATGTCAACATCATCCATTCTTGGGCTAGGGATGTGGCTCAAGAGGTAGCGCACTTGCCTGGCATGCATGCGGCCTGGGTTTGATCCTCAGCACCACATACAGACAAAAGATGTTGTGTCCGCCGAGAACTAAAAAAATAAATTAAAATTAAAAAAAAAAAAACATCATCCATTCTTTTGGTTTTCCTTTATACTCAGGTGATAAAGCCCCAGGGTTTGAACAGGATTGCCCATGACTCTGTCTGGTTGTTAGATCATGATTATTTGGAAAACATGTATGCAGTGTTTAAGAAGGTTAATGTCAGAGAAAGAATAATTGGCTGGCTAGGGGCTGGGGCTGTAGCTCAGTGGCAGTGTGCTTGCCTATCATGCCAAGGCATTGGGTTCAATCCTCAGCACCACATAAAAATAAACAAATAAAATAAAGGTATTCTATCTGACTACAACTAACAAAAAAAATTTTTTTTAAAGAATCATTGTCTGGTACCACCCAGGCCCTAAACAACTATGTAAGAATGACATTGCCATCAATTAACTCATGAAAACATACTGCCCTAACTCAGTATTGGTCATTATCATGCAAAGCCAGAAAACCTGGGGCTGCCCACAGAAACATGTATTTCAGGCGAAGAAGTTCATGATGATGGAACTCCAACCTTGAAAACATTTGAGCATGTGACTGGGAAAATTGGAGCAGAAGAAGCTAAGGAAGTTGGGGTTGAACACTTATTGTGAAACATCAAGGACGGTACAGTGGGCAGTCTTTCCAAGTGGATCACAAATCAGGGCCATGGTTTGAAGGGACTGAACTCCAAGTTTCTAGATATCGGGAGCTACCTGGAAAAAGTAGCCACAGGCAAGCTGCCCATCAACCACCAGATCATCTACCAGCTGCAGGACGTCTTCAACCTGCTGCCTGATGTCAGCCTGCAGGAGTTTGTCAAGGCCTTTTACCTGAAGACTAATGACCAGATGATGATGGTGTACTTGGCCTCGCTGACCCGCTCCGTAGTTGCCCTGCACAACCTCATTAACAACAAGATTGCCAACCAGGATGTAGAGAAGAAAGAAGGGCAGGAAAAAGAAGAGAGCAAAAGGATAGGAAAGATGACAAAGAGAAAGATAAAGATAAGGAAAAGAGTGATGTGAAGAAAGAAGAGAGAAGGGAGAAAAAGTAAAACATGTAGCTTTTTTTAATTTGTAAATTAAAATCTTATAAACTAAATCAATGTGCCACTAGAGGGTTCTTTTCCACTTTTAGTGCTTATTAAAAGGCTGTCCTGATGAGAGCTCTCTGCCTCCGATCATTCTTGCTGTGGCATTAACTGATGTAAATGACAGAGGGACTGATCTGCAACTCAGACTGCAGCCTCAGCTGCTGTGCATTGGGAATTATGATAGCTCAGGCTTCAGATCGTGTGAGAGAAGTGAAAAGACAACAACATAATATTTTTGGTACTCTTCATTCTTTATAAACAAGAGTTGAATTTTCCCTTCTTGAGAGATTCTTGGGGGGTCTTTTTCTGATAATTGGCAAAATTGCTAAATGGAATGTGTGGGTCCTGTATGTTCTCTGGCTTGTAAATCTTGAGTTTGACACTTCTGAACTCTTGAGAACCACACTACATTTTGGACCTGCAGTTCTGGCAGTCTCACGACCTGGGGTCCAGCTCCATGTGTTGTTTACCTTCAAAGACACAATTAAATGCTTTTTTATGAAGTGGTGTCTTGATGAGGGAATGCCATGGACAGCTTAGGAGGTGTCATACAGAAAACAGGGAGATTAAATGGAGACTTTTTTTTTTTACATTTAATCTCATTTTTATTTCTTTTAGGTTTCTCTTTTTCTGGAACTAGACAAAACAGTTCTAAAGTACTCATGGAAAAATAAACAAGCAAGAATTGCCAGGAATATGCAAAGCAACAAGGGGAAACTTAAATGGAGATTTATCTACTAAATGTGGGACACTCTGGGTTTTCTTAGCCCACTCTTTTCCTCAAGTGCTGACAGTCATCCCCAACTATCAGCCTGAAGAGCTTTCTCTGGAGTTAGTTATGGTTTGGATCTGGAATATCTCCCCAAAGAACCATAAGATCAGATCAGATCATAAGTCCTAAGATCAGAGCTTTTGGGAAGTGGCGGAACCTTTAAGACAAGAGCCTAGTGGGAGATCTTCTAGTCATTGAAGGCATGTCTTCAAAATAAATAATGAGGCTCAGCCCCTTCAACTTCCTCCTTTTTTCATCACAGCTATGAGGTGAGAATGGGCCAGGTGATCATGAGCTGAAACTTCGGAAGCCATGAGCCAAAATAACCTTTTCTCTCTGCAAATTGTTCATCTCAGATACTTGTTACAATGACAGAAAGGTGACTAACAGACTTCCCCAATAAAACATCCCAACTAGATCCCCATACAGCTAAGCTCACATCAATAAGCTCATCCTTTCCAAGGAGCTCTTTAGTGCCCAGTTTGTAATATGAGAAGACAACCAGGATCACCAGACATCTGAGAAAAGCCTCTAATGTGACAGCAAGAAAGAGAAAAGCAATCTATGAAAAACAACTATGGAGATAAGAAAAAAATTTTTTCCTGGATGGGCACAGTGACACACGCTTGTAATCCCAGTGACTTGGGAGGCTGAGATAGAAGTTCTCAAGTTTGAGACCAGACTCAGCAACTTAGGTAGACCCTATCTCAAAATAAAATAAAATATGGGCATGGTGCACATGCTTGTAATCCCAGAGGCTCAGGAGGCTAAGGCAGGGGGACCATGAGTTCAAAGCAAACCAGCCTCAGCAATTTAGCAAGGCCCTAAGCAACTCAGCAAGACCCTATCTCTAAATAAAATAGAAAAAGGGCTGGGGATGTGACTGATTGGGAAAGTATCCCTGAGTTCAATCCCCAGTACCAAAAAAGTAAAATAAAAATAAGAAGGGCTGAGGGTGTAGCTCAGTAGTAGGGCACCTCTAGGTTCAAGTCCCTCATACCAAAAAAAATAATAATAATAAAAAAGAAAGAAAATTAATACATTTTCAGGGCTGGGGGTGTTGTTCAGAGCTAGAACACTTGCTTATCACATATAGGGCCCTGGGTTCCATCCCCAGCATTACAAATACACATGCATATGTACAGAGATATTTTTTGTAAAAATCCCTTCAGGAAGTAATAGAATGTAAATATATCTATGAAACAAGAAAAGGATGCTACAAAAAGTAACATGTAGAGAACAAACAAGTGTTTTCTGTGGGAACACAAATTAAAATTTCAGTAGATGAACATTTTGCTTCTGAAAGGAACTAGAAAGTTAAGACAACATCACTCCCACCATAGCTACAAGAAGGAGATGGATAACCTACAAAATCCTATAGGGTACCCATCTATTGTGTGGCTCAGGCTGACCTTGAATTACTGGGCTGTAGCCATCCTCCTCCCTCAGCCTTCCAATTAGCTGGAACTACAGATGCCTGGAAACATCTTATTTTAAGCCCACCAGGAAGCTGAAGTTAGGAAGAAAAAAGAATACAAGTCAAAAAAATCCCTTTCTAGGAAAAAAGATGGCTGCTTTTATCCTTGGCAGGACAGCAGCAGCAGAAAGAGACTGCCATAGAATGTGTAAGAATCTTTTAATAAATGTTAAAAGGTTGGGTGTGGGATGACATGATGGGTAGCCAAATCTCCAGGTCCCTACAACTTGACAGTTTTTATTCTCCCACTTACTCCTTTCCATGGGTCTTCATTAAGAAATTCTGGAGGCAGGTGAGCAGAGAGATCTCTCTAAGGTACAGATGTGCTGAGACTGCCAAAGTGTGAATGCAGGACAGGGGAATGGAGAGAAGCCCCCCTGGTACATCAGGCCTTGCAGTTACATGAAGCAGCAGCAACTAGAACTGCAGAATGGTAGAAGAGCTGAGAAAGACCATTCCCTGGCTGAAGGGTTTGCCAAAGGCTTAAGGCAGGATGGAGAACTAAGAGAAAGCTTAACCCTCTAAATCTCACTCTAAGTACAAAGCAGAAGCCAGTGAAATTGAGACAAAACATGCCTGGAGCAAATGATTGTGGGTCTACTAAAGTCTAAACATGGAGCAGGACAATGAACAAAAATCCTCCAGGCACTTTCATCACAAGTTCTGCTACACAGAGGTTCTGATCCTGCTCTGAAGTAATTTGACATCTGTAGGAAAGTGAATCCATCTGAAGCAACAAGAAATCCAGACACAGCTTAACTATAGACAAGACTGACTCAGTACAATTCTATAAGACACAAAGACACACCCACACCCACACACACACACACACACACACACACACACACACACACACTAGTCATCTGGAAGAAGAGTCATTCCCCCCTCTTCTTTTCGGCAGTGCTGAGATCAAACCCAGGGGCCTCACAAATACTAGGCAGTCCTTTTTATAAGATTTGGAGACAGGGCTTCATTAAATGGCTGAGGCTGGCCTCAAACTTGCCATCTTTCTGCCTCATTCTTTTGAGTAGCTAGGATTACACATATATACCACCATGCCTAGCCAAATCATGTCCTTCTTTGGATGAAAATGTTATTATTTTTCTCTCTACTCTTCTATTACATATGATATCTGACACTCATTTAAAATTAAGAGGGCTTAGCTGGGTATGGTGGCACACAACTGTAATCCCAATGATTTAAGAGGCTAAGGCAAGAGGACCGCAAGTTCAAGGCCAACTTGGCAACTTAGTGAGACCCTGTCTCAAAATAAAAAGTAAAAAGGGCTGGGAGTGGTAGTTCAGTGATAGTATACCCTGGGCTCAATCTCCTGGTTCAAAAAAAAAAGTATAAATGGGAATGCTAGACATGAAAATTTTGATATCACAGATGAAATATCTAATGAACTTAGTAAAAAACTAGACATGAGGAATGAATCAGTGGACTTGAAGACAGGAAGATAGAAATTATCCAAACTAAAGCACAAAGAGAAACAACAGTGGGAAACCCAATATATCAGAGCATTTGAGATGAGTGGAACAAAATCAGAATATTTAATGTAGGCAGAGAACAGGGCAAGGGAAATACATTTGAAGAGATATGACCAAAAACTTTCCAACATAGAAGAAAAACATCCTCAATCCACAGATCCAAAAGTTTTAGTGAACCCTATGCCAGATAAATGTAAATAAATTCTCTTCTAAATACTTTATATTCAACCTGCTGAAAAATGAAAACAAAAATCTTAAAAGCAATCAGAGAAAGAAAGAACATGCTACTTTGACAAAAAAAAAAAAAAAAAAAGGTAAGAATGACACTCATCTAGCCCTCACCTGAAACAACAGGGGCAGAAGATAGTGAAACATTCTTAAATACTAAAAGAAAAA